CACTTATTTAAAAAAAAACGTGTCGCAGCCATTCTGTCCATCACTGTACAGAAACGTGTAAATGTCTATCAATTGTACAAAGAGAGCAATATGTTAACTGCTGCATATTTTTAAAAATAACGCGAGTACTCAATTGCACGCTCCTAAACTCATTGAAAAAATCGGCCATTCTGTCCATCACTGTACAGATACGTGTAAATAACTGTCAATTGTACAAAGAGAGTAATATGTTAATTGCCGCATATTCCACGTTATTAAAAATAACGCGGGTACTCAGTTGAGTGCCCTGCGGCCGCAAAAAGCTCGAGGCAAGACGTAAAAGACTCGAAGAACACGACGGCTCGGTGGTGGTTTCGCAAAGGCACCGGGGACGCAAAGGATTAATCTTTCACGTTCTTTTTTCCCCGCGCGATTGAAAGTTTTTTTCGCCCGCGCCGCCCTATTCCCTTCCGCTGGGATAATATAAAATGACAACATGTTTTTGAAGGCCGTGCGAACGTATACGACTCGATCAACGAATGTTCGCGCGAGCGATTACGGGAGCCCGAAGGTTATCGGAATTAATTGAGAACAGCGTCGGAGTCAGAGTCGGAGAGCTTGAATTTGGAGCAAGGGCACACCGTAAGGGACGTCCCGTAGGGCCTCTCGAGATCGTCCCGCGCCGCCGAAACGCTCGGCTGTCCGAGCGTGAAGCGGAGCTTGTTCCGCGCGATTAGCTCGCCGAGCCCGATCTTTTCTGGGTTGTGTGCCATAATTAAAGCTGTCGAACCACTCGATAATCGCCGTAATCGTCGCGTCCCGAGCGCCTTCCCGTCTTCTACATCGCCGATGCTAATCAAATCGGATGCATGCGATACGTCAACTTGCTCAATAACAGCGAATAAATTATTAGAGCGCCTGGGGCGCTTTGCAATCCTCTAACGCGATAAGTACGGCATTCCGAGCGAACGTCAGTTGATTGTAGCCGTTGAAATTGTAGCGATATCGCCGACAACTCGTGAGGGAGCGAGACGTGTAATTCGACAAATTTTCGGTGCGATTCAACTACCGTTTTCGTCTTGCGCCAACAGCTGTTTATCTTTTTACGATAGATGTAACACGTTATGTAACGGATTACACGCCGCGCACGTGTTGCATCAGTCGCGTTGACTAGAATTCATCGATCGACTCGTTCAAAGGGAGAGAGAGAGAGAGAGAGAGAGGGGAGGGGGGGGAGAGCGAAAGAGAGACGAGGTGGGAGACGGGAGAGATTCTTTTTAAAGTGATATTAAGATATTACATACGGAGGGAAATTGGAGCAAAAAGGAGACGTCAGGTCCGACGACGTGTACTCGACGGGACGACAAGTGTCAAAGCTTAACGACCGACATCTGGTCGCGCGAAAAGAGTAAACGAGATCGGATTATGTGTATTCGAGCGGATTTGTTTGCGCTCTCCCGCGAGGGACACTTGTTCTCGCGACGCGCGTTACGTGAAACGAAAAAAAAAACACACACGATCGGCGATTATTGCTCATTAATATCGTGCGTTCGATCACAAGCCGCGTGCGCGGCGGCGTTAAAAATAAATGCTGAAACAACGTCGACAGGCATGAATCCCGTAGCACGGGTTTTAAAGAGCTTTAGGGATATCAAGAATTCAGCGTGCTGTTAGTTATCACGGCGCGTCACGTTCACGTTCTGTTGCAGATAACATCGAAGGCGACTGTTTGCTCATCGATCGACGTCACGCGTCTCGTGAATCTCAAAGAGGCTGCACCCGTGGCTGTTGCATCGCCGCCGGAGTCCCCGAGGGCTGCCCTCCGCCGTTCTCTATCCAGAGCAGCTCGAACGAACCTCGTGTCATCGAAGGGTTAACAGCGGGAGCGAGATTCGCGTCGGAAGAAAAGGAGAGGGCGAGAGGTAGAGAGAGCGAGAGAGAGTGTGCCGTTCTCTCGGACGAGGGGCGGTCACGTCGAGCGTCGCCGAAACGGGAGAAGAATCACCCCGCGCGGCACCGGTGGCTCATCATACTCGAGTGGACAAACCGCCGACAAACAATAGGGACCTGGCCGGTGGCTTCCGATGGGGTCGTAGCCGCCGCAGCGCAGCGCGCGCGTATTCGTAACGGCGTATCGCAATGATAGGCTAGCCGGTAGCGGCAGGAAGAGATCGTCGTAGGGGGAGATCGCCATAGCTAATAGTACCACCCAAGGTGGCACAGATTGAGAGCCCCATCAGCACACATCCTCTCCTGGCTAACGAGATACCCGGCTCTCTCGTCCATCCAGTTGGTGCGCGCCGTTACGCCGCTCGTCGCTCGTCGCCGACGACGTCGTGCGTCAGCTTCCGATCGGCCGGGACCAATTCCGTTCGACGTTGATTCGAAAGAGCTTGCGACGAGTCGGAAGAGGAAGGGAGTGGAAGAGGAGGTAGATCGGTCTTGGGGGCTTGGCCGCTGATCGACGCCTGGAGCATCTAATTCTTCATCCCCGTCATCCGCGCGCGCCTGTCCTCGACCTCTTTTTTCCCTTCGTCCTCCGTCGCGTCTCATCCCTCTCGGCTTAAATCGCGCCGCGCCAGCGTCACCGCCTCGACGTGCCGTTTCACTCACGAAGAAACGGCGACGTGAGAGGGACCGAGGGAGAGAGAGAGAGAGAGGAGAGGCAAGCAAATTCGCTCTTGGTGCCCCTCGACGTGATCCAGCTCCGGCGATTCTCTTCCCCATCGGGACGCCCCGGCCGCTTCCGGCTAACTGGAAGTGAACGCTCTATGTAAACGATTGCCGAGCGCGGTTCTCATTGGAACGCACAGGACGCAGGAAGCGCATCATGGAAGTGGCAAGCGAGCTGTAAGTACGATCTCTCCTATCGCTATGAGATATCGCTGTTTTTTTCTCGCTTCTCGCGCTTCAACGATTGCCTCCGTCACCCATAAACGACCAGTTTGATTAATGAGCGAAATCTTGATCAAGTATACATCGCGCTACTCGAATATTTTTCTCAAGGCGGATTTTTTTCCCTCTTCATTCTGATGTAACCGCTCGGCCATTTGTTCGGATTGTGGTACATTTTATTATGACGAGATATCATCAGCAGACTGTTGATAAACATAAGCGCGACACGTGTATCGAATAAACTTTGCCCTCTGCCATTTGGATCTTTTGACCCAGGCTTTTCTCTCCGGAATTTAGCGTCTATATACTTGCAAAAGAAAAAAAAATGCAATTTTCGATCAAGACAATTTTAAGATTCAACTTAAAAAAATTACTTCACCCGAGAAAAAAATGAAAAAATCTCATATATGTCTCAATCATGTAATATCTATATCTCACGAGATCCAATTCGAAAATTCGGCATATCTTCACACTTTCCTTGAATGTTCGAGGTTACCTATTGAGATCCAACTAAATCTAATTGTTCTATTAAGACATTTAATTAGATCTCAATAGACATAACTATGAATATTCAAGAAAAGTATCAGATCTCTGAAGATTTGATGACTTTAGAATTTGATATAATTAGATATTACATGAATGAGATATTTTTATTTTTTCCCGGGCACTCGGGAATTTTTCGATCGTTAAAGCATAAGCGTCAAACGTTCTCATTTGCAAGTGCGTCGATTAATATTATTCCTTCGAACTTCCGAGTACACGTTTAAGTACATAATTATCTTTATAGCTTTTGTTAGTGCTTTTAATTCTAGGAATTATCACTTGCGTGCGCACACGCGTGGCAAAACGTAAATCTTATCATTTATTTAGGTAGCGCGCCGACTTTTAGGCCTGATTAAAATGGATGCTAATTTTGTTAATAAGTTACACGCAGTACAGGAGGAACAACCTCAATATCATCTCGCCCTCTCCCTCCTCTCGTAATTTAATTTTTTAATTTTCACGATGTTTTTCTGCCACATCGCTCACGCGATCGTCACGATACTTAAAATATGCGTGAGTTGTAACGATTTCAATGGTATTTAAGCTAAATGTCAAATTATGCCATTAACTTCCACCATGAGTACGTCGTAACTCTTTATTTACGATTTTGCGATTAAATCATAATTGAAGAGTTACGATCCAGTCGTGGTAAAAGCTAATGACGTACTAATTATACATTACGTAATAATATAGAGTTAAGCTGATGCGCGCGAAGCGATTGAAATCGTCGTAACTGACCTCTCTCCATCGCGATACGATATGTTTCAACTTGTAATCGGCCGCTACGCGGCTGTCATGGCACAAGATATCGCAACGATTAGAAAATAAACGCCGTAAGAGAGATAGAGAGACGTGTAATGTGTGTAAATATCTCACGTTACATCGCGAGTACGCCCGAAGCAAGTGGCATGATTTTCGTGTAAAGTTTCGAAGACTAAGACCCGGTTTCATCAAACGTCGCTTAACTTTAATCTCGGTTTAATTCATGTTTGTCTCTTCCTAAAGTAACAGTTGGAAAGAGACGAGGAATGAATTGAGCTAAGCTTAAAGTTAAGCGACGCTGGTGAAACCGGGCCTAAGGCGGGATATTTCACGTAATTTAATCGCGATTAAAAACCGCAAGTCGCATTTCAACGAGGCGCACTCGCACCGTGAATGGAAGTCACCCTGCGTGTGTATATGCAGTTGAACCCATTATACGCCGCGTCGTATATCGCATTCAGCGGCAGCGGGATTCATTGGCACAGAATTCCATAATGGCAACAGCGGGCGCTCGACGGCTGCTCATTAAATCATTGTTAAGCCCCGTTCTTTGTTGATAAGGAACAGAGGGAGAAGACGACGATTGCGCGTCCGCGCGCGCGCGCTGCGCATAAGAAATCATGGCCAATTCTAATGAGAACGTGCGTAAACGCAGCATCCGCGGCGTCCGCCGATGAGCTTCTCGTCTCAAGAGAACGTGTCTCTTTCAGACGACGCAGCATAAATTTTATACACAGTCTTATATATCGCGGACGCGCGCAGCCTTGCTTTTTCAGCTCGTCCCCGCAGTATAGAAGATTCTGAAAAGTTCCGAGTGAATCCCAAGTCGCTCAAACTGCATCTACACTCAAAACAATATCTTACTAACGCAGCTAGATCTATATAAATGTCGCAACAAAATCTTATCGTTAACTTTTGTATCTGTTAGAAAAGTGTTTGTAGCCCGCAAAATTTATAACAGCCACATTCTAGTGATACCTTCTGGAAAGTTTAGGTCTCATGACTGAATATTAATCATTCACATTGGATAACAATAAATTTCCGTACCATGACTGGAACAATCTTTGTTAAGGCCTGTGCCCACGATGCTGGAACTTGGTCCAAGTTCTAGCTATCCTATAAAAGCTGCAAATTGATTGGCTACACATTTCTCGGAACTAGAACTCGGACCAGTTCTAGTGTGGACACAGATCTTAAAGAGTATAACTGTTTATGTACCACAATCAAACGTTATAATGGATAGGCGATACAGAAAGACTCTTTTCCTAACGTTCGCTAACAGTTCAGATAAAAATTCTGTTTCTGTTATTTAAATTGATTAAGTACAAAACATATAGAATGTCGTAGTATCGGCTATTCATTTGTATATCTCAGTTATTTTTTTCGTACCTAGAAAACTTTCGCTGCAGTTGCAAAAATTTTTTGAGTGTAAAATCTGGTGGCGAGGGGCTTTTAAATTATAAAAATACAAGAATGTGTGGATTTCGAAGGACAATGAAAGTACGTGATTGACAAAGCTTACATAATTGATTGGAAAGTGCGAACTCGAGACACATTCGGCGGGGACACGCCAATGAAACGTATTACGTATGCGTATTATCGCGAATGCGAAACTGTGAGCGGCATAGAAGTCGCGCGCGTTTATCCTTGTTGCTGATAAGGAAATACGTGCCCCGCCTCTATCGCACCGAGCACCGCAACTGCAAATTTATCCCGTATCTGGTGCGATCACCGCGTTCGATGGTATTTGATTTAGCAAACTAGGCGTGTGCCGTCTTCGTTCGCTTTTATTATATATCGCGCGAGCAATCTTACGTGGAATTACCTGCTCCTAATGGACCTTGCGACCGCGTCACATTGACCCAGAATAACGGATGCTCCGGGTACAAGATTCCCAGTATCCTCTCTTCTATCAATGCAGAATGACTTGAATCTCGGTTTAACTCTTTACCCTTTTCTAGTTTTAAGAATTAAAAAATAAGAGAAGACTAAATATATAAAACAGAAATAAAGAACATTTGAATTGGTCCCTTATGAATTTCGTTGAAAAAGAAAGATAAAAACAAGTTGAACTGAGAGAAAGTTAATCTGCAATTGGCGGAAAATGGACAATAGCTTAACGTCGCGGGATTAGCGAGGGAGAAATTTTTCCTCCGATGATTTCGCCTTTCATCGAAGCTGTCTTTCGATCGTGCGTAAAGACGACCAGTTACATTGTGCATAATACGCGTAAAACCGGTTACCGATGATCGCGTGCTAATTGTTCAAATGCAGACGGTAAAGACAGGAGAGTGAAACGGCTTTACGTTTTTATGGTAGTTATTTGTTTCAACTGCGTCAACTGTGTAACATCTGAAATCAGACGTTGCATTCTGACACGCACTTAAGTGCTTCGCACGAAAGTTATGACTCGCGCGAAATAATCATAACCGAGACGTCAAAATTCGAGGCAAATATTTACGCAGCAACAAGCTCTGCCCTGCACCCCTCGTCTCCTTCTTTCCTTCTGTGAATGAAATATCGTGCCTTAACGGGCGGTGCAGAAAATCTTTTTAGGCTTACGCCCGATGACGTCAGCTTTTCAAAATAAGCAAGACAGTGGGAAAGAGAGATATTCTACCTGCATCGCAAATCTTGCATCTGCGTGCAACTTCTTACATAAGCGTATTCAACAAGTTGTTTGCCGCAGTTAATTTTGGAACTTTTACCCGAGCCAAAACGTCGTGGCATTGAGTATTCAGCACGACGCCGCTTGTCATTCCGCGACGGCACGAATCCAATTAATGCTCGCCCTATTGATTTATTTATCCATTCATTGCTCCGCTTTGTGTTCGGGACGATTAAAAACTGGAGCGTGAGGAGTGTGAGAGAGAGAGAGAGAGAGAGAGACGCGAGGAGTCTGCATTGTTCCCGTTTCTAACTGCGCTTAATTCTCTCTTTCACGCTGATCTCTTCCAACAAATTGCGCGGCTACTCATTATTCTTATTTCTAACCGCGCGTAATTCCTCCACGCTAATCCATTTTAACCGGTTGCGGCCGCCTTAATGGCGGAGCCCTCCGCAAACGTACTCCGCTCTTCGCGAGGGCCGATCTCTCTCGCCGACGTTACGCTTTCCGCGAAATGCACGCGCGATGCCACTTGGTGCGCGTTCAAGAGCCGTAAAATTTTTATCTCCGACGTCACCTCGTTAAACCAAAAAGGTACCAATTGAACCGCCATTCGAGACGAGCGGCGTCGAACGCGCGGCAAGGTGATACCCCTTAACTCGGTATTCAGTGCAATTCATGAGCGCCGTCGATTAACTGTAATATAAAACCGCGGAAAGAAGAAAAAAAACGTACAATGCAAAACTATATATAGGAGGACTCGGCCGGAAACGCGCGGGTTCTATCGTCGTAGCCCGGCATTAATTCTCAGGGACGATATTTTCCCATCTGTCCGCCGGTCCGGATTGTTTTTCAACGGCCGCGTGAGGCTTAATCGTGTCACCCAGCATCTGCGAGTGACGTTGTGCCCCGAGTATAGTGTCGCGCTATCGACGAATTAACTGACGCAATTAAAACCGTCTCACACGTCGTTCGTTTACCTCGAGATGCCCATTCATCAACCCTTCTTCCGCCGCGGCGATTACCGCGTTGCGAAATCTAATGGAAAAATCCCGGACCAGTCGTGGAAGCCGTCGCAGCCGTACGGCTGTGTTTAGAGTTCTCGGCGATAAGATAAAAATACCGGTCAGCGTGTCAGCGAGGACGCGGAAAGTAGGCCACGATCTTCCCCCGCGTGACATTACCGCGTGTCGGCGCGGGTTCGCGCCGGAACTTCGGTACGAGAAACGGAAATAATGGAAACATCCCGCGAAACGATCCATGACGAACGCCCACGTCGCGTGCGCGAATGTCGTCGTTACCGTGGCCGATTGCTTTTCGCTTGGTCTGCGAATTTCTCGCGACAATTCGTCCCTCCGTCTCCTCCCGTTACTGAAGGCCTGTGTCCACGACGCTAGAACTTGGTCCAAGCTCCAGTTCCGGGAAATGTGTAGCCGATCAACTTGCAGCATTTCTCGAAGCTGAAACTTGGACCGAGTTCTAGCGTCGTGGACACCGGCCTTGCTTATTTATAAAACTTTTACAATAAATATTAAAGACTACTCAACTTTTTTATGATCCTTTATCGCTAAGATACCCAAAAAATGCAAAAAAAACCGACCTAAATGCGTTAACTAGAAATTAAATGGTCAAAAAGTAAAGAAGTTGTGGTAACGTACGCTACCATCATGCTCCAAAGGGGTTAAGGGAAATGACCAATGTCTGTCGAGAACGTAGCAGCCATTCGGAAACTTAAGCAATGTTTGAAACTCAGATTGATTGAAATTCTTAAGTCTCAAGTTTTATTGCTCAAGTTTTTTCGCGTGTTCGGGCCTTGGCAGCCGAGAACGCAAGCGGGCATTTTGAAACTTCAGCAATACTGAAACTTTCGATCGGTCGAAATTCTTTCGTCTTCCTGCTTAAGTTTTTCCGCGCGCCTCCTTAGTGTTGGTCTTGTCTTGTCTTGTCTTGTCTTAAACAAGCATTTATTCCCCTCACTCTCGCCTGTGATTGGTTAAATTCTTACGGCTTAAGGCTCACAGCTTACTCAAAGCAAGATTGTGAACCAGAGGTTAGTGTTGGTCTACAATCTTGTCTTAAGCCCAATGTCCATGATACTAGAACTTGGTCCAAGTTCTAGCATCGTGGACATTGGCCTTTAAGCAAGCTGCAAGCTGTAAGCCATAAGTCATTAACCAATCACAGGTGAGAGTGGGGGGAATAAATGCCTGTGATTGGTTAATTTCTTACGACTTAAGTCTTGCGTCTTACTTAAGGCAAGGCAAGGTTGTAGACCAACACTTATTCACGCAGCAGTTTACGGCCGCGCGTATATCTGTAACACACTCGCGATTATTCGTGCACCCGGAAGATCTTCGAGGTGCTCGGAAGAACTTGGCAGGGACCGCCGCGCGCCGCCGGGGTTTTCAAACATCGCGGTCCACGCCGCTGCAAGCACCGAACCGGCCCTCCCGTTAAGTTACGCGAGTAATCCGATACTCGTTCAACCCATCGACCAAATAAGCGAAATCGGGATGTATCGGGGCGACGTTACATTAACACCGATGACATCATGGCGAGCATTAGCATCAGGACGACGCAACGGCGTCCTTTCGCGACGGCGTTAGACACGGGCGGGCCGTGTCCTTGATCGATGACGCAATCACGGATGAAAGATTCATTCGCCGGCGCGCGTATCTCAGATACTGGTTTCCCGAGCGACACGTGTACGAGACACTTGCCGTCGAGGGGGGTCGGTGACATTTTGCAACGACGGTTTTCGGCCTAAGGTGGACAAAGTTGCGCGTACTCGTTCCGATAGCCCTCTCCTCTCCTCGACTCATGCAAATGGGCTCGCGGTACATCTCCTTCGCCTTCGTTGCCTTTTACGTTCCTCCGCGCGCGTGCATAATCGCGTGGGACGAATTTTGTGCTCGCACCGCGTCGCTCGTCGTAAAAAAAAAATAAAAAGAATGCTAGGAACTCTAGTTACGACCAAAAGTCGTGTGATTGTGCGTACGCGAGTATTTATTCATGCTACGTGGAAACACTCGATGAAACACACAGCGAGGCGTGGTCTCGTCTATAAATAATCAGAGATTCTTCCGTGTTCCAGTTGAACGCGCTTTTTATTTCTTCGAAACTATTGCACGGAATCTAATGGAAATTAGCAATTAAAGCTGGCTTTCAATAAAAATTATGTATATATGAGAAAGTGTCGCATGTAGGCGGCAGGTTGATTTGTTTTCCACGTATTTGCAAAGCTGCACCTGCGCCATATTGTCGAATTAAAGCAATAAGCGCGACGCCAAAGCCCATCATTTATTTGATCCGCTTAATTCCGTAACAGCCTCGTATTAGCAAGCGCATAATAATGAAAATACATTCTTAATCGGCGCAAATGCATCGCGGCGTTCTCAAATGGTAGAAACACAGATCGTTATCTTGTAACGTTCAAAGAGTTGCTGCAATGACAATTCGCAGTGTAATTTCTCGCCTCTCGCCAGCTGCACGCCTAACGCGCTGTTGGTGCCGTCGACATCACTTCCGCATATCGTCACGTACCTACTGTATTGCGATAAGGACGATTCGGCCTGGAAGCGACGACTTTTCTGCTATTCATATATTTTTTTATTTTCCCCTCTACGGGGACGCCGCCAACCGTTAGGTTATTTAGCGTTGCGTTTCTTCTTCCGCGTGACACACGCGCGCGCGCGCTTCTTTATGCAATCGGCGCTCCTGCATTTCCTCGTGGACGCTGCTGAGATTGCGTTACGCGCGCTTCAGGGAATTGGAAAATTGGAAGCTGGTCAGCTTGAAATAGTCGATGGGTTAAAAGAGCCCCTGGTTAACTGCAGAAGTGACGGTAATCACCGAAAGTTGCCAGGTTCGATAAATCCTGGGTTCTAAAAAGAATTGTGTTTGTGTTGTCGCGTCAAGTGCCGCTGCCAACAATCGGGAGACGTGCAAACCGCGCGTTAATCTCAGATCCACATACGCGAAGAAGTGCTAATTGTTGAAACAAGCCGTACGATTGTTCGGAAATTGCAACAAGTGCGGAAAACGAAAGCGTGCCGCGATGTAATTCGTTTCGCGACACTTAGCGACGCTACGGGATATTAATTCCGCAGAATAAATTATATTATAAATCGTCTTGTGTATTCCTGGTACGAGTGTTATGAACGCTGACGAAACGGGGTAAGCAGAATCTATTTGTGATACTTCGAGCGAGGCGCGACAACAAAAAGTATTTTATCAGACGATCGCAGTAATCGCGACGAGAATAACAAATCAATTTCGTAAAAACTAGACCGGCCGTAGATCTTTTAATATTTTGATTTGCTTTTTGCAACGTTGCGCGAAATGATCGCGGTAAAAGATAGGAGTTACGGTAACAAAGGACTCGTCAGTTTAATTTTCGTCGGTCGCCAATAAGCGAGCGATGTAAAAATAAAAGTTCTATCTCGAGATTCGCGCTAAGATTTATACCGATTGGAATTAATCACGCATATCACGCAAGTGATTATAAATTCTCGGGAGAGTTCTGTACGTTTTCGTGTTGGCGTAATTTAATATCTTTTCGATATCATCGTAACTTTTGTCCTTCATTTTATTGGCTGAAGTGCTTACAAAATCTTGCTCGCTCTCCATTTTTTCGGCATTGTAAGTGAATTTTTTCTTTACTGGGCGATTTGGGCGTCTATTTCCCAATGATTTCCGTGTATTCGGCATTTTCCCGACACTTTTATTTTTGTTAGATAATGCAACCTGTTAGATAATGCAACCCGCGAGTATCAAATTTTTTTTTTCTGAGAATACGCAGGTATACGAGTTACAATAGATTCGAAAATGTCGGGAGGGCCATAAACTTGCTACCTAGTGTAGATTTAACGGCCAGGTATAGACAAAGGTCTCCCCACAAAGCCGTTCCGAGCGCGCGTGTATTACCTGTTTTTCATTCAACAGACTGTCCCTTCGAACGAGCTGTAACTCGTAAAATACTTTCGATATGAACATATCCTTTTGGCCACGTATTCTCGACACCATAAGGATGAAATTTAAGCAAAAAAACAATTTTTTCATCATTGAGAATGAGAACCTGGCCTTAAAAGAAATATCCACGTCAGTACAGGACGGAAAAAACTTCTGACGTATTTATACGCGCGGTTAAATGGCCTGTCGACATACATAAGAATAGGCGCCCATTGCGAGGGTCTTATGTCATCTTACAGCTCTCAAGGTTTATGAAAAATACGAAAAAGTCACGTCCATTGCAAAGAATATTAATTCCCGAGCATCTGCTGCCGCACGTTACAGTGGTCAGTCCGAAGTCGACACGCGTACGCGCCGAGTGCCAGACAGAGTGTCTTTTAGAACAGATTAAATATGTAGGTGTATAGTATATATATAAAACGAACTTTTTCGCGGGAGATCGTCTTGTGCTCGAAACTCAAGAAGTAGCAGAGGGAAGTCCCCTGTTATGCGATAGGCTCCTAATATGAGATACGTGGAGTTTCTGGCATAATTAATAGACATCTTCTGTTGGTTCCACTGTGAACTTATTGCCCTCGGAGTGAGATCTCTGTTTAGTGGAAAATTGATTGTCGGATCGTGTAATCGTTGCGAAAAAAAAATTGGTGATTGAATTTGGACGTTGAAAATCTGCTATCTCATATAGAATCCTATCTCATAATAGAGAACTGTCCTCTACATGTAGAGCTCATTCTAAAATGAACGCCAAACGCAAGGCGCTAAGCCGCAGCGCAAGAAATCGGCCGATGACAGTCGGTCATTCTTCTCGTATTTGACATATTGGTCGATTTCTTGCGTCGCGGCTTCGGCGCCCAATGAACCGTCGAAGCAACATCCTTGCGCTTCAACCTTGCGCCTGTAATAAAACGCTCATAGTGAGAGCTTTCAAGAGAACAGAGTTTTGTTTGGGGGAAGAGTTGTAAAAGACAGCGTTATCAATGCGTTCCAGGTCGCCGCTATCGGGGGCGGAGAACCAGGACAGAATCAAGGAGAGGAGCTCGTACTATCCCCAGGAACCCAACAAGAGGCCGCAGACCGTGGGGGAGAAGATGCGAGCGTGTCTGAGCCACAACGCGCTCACTATTCTTACAATGTCCGGCGTCTTCGGCGGCGTGATACTCGGCATAATTCTGCGAAACACCCGAGAGAAATGGACGCCGCGCGAGATCATGTATATCAATTACTTCGGCGACCTGTTCCTGCGGATGCTCAAGAGCTTGATCCTGCCGTTGATCATCTCAAGCCTGGTATCGGCCATCGGCTCGCTCGACCTGTCGCTCAGCGGCAAAATCGGCGCGCGTGCGATCGGCTACTACGTGGTAACGACCATCTCAGCCGTCATATTAGGTCGGTGAAAAAAAACCCCCTAATTTAACTCGTCGCGTCATGATCGGTGCAATTATTCGCGGGACGTGTCCACGTTTCTTCGTACACGGAGAGAATTTTCTCTTCAAATTTATCCTCAAAAACTTTTAATCGTGGGACAAGAGTTTTTGAAAATCTTGCCGTACACATTACTAGCAGAATGTGTGGTAAAGTTTAAAAAAAGCTCTCGTAAAGTTGTTCAAAACGTCGTGTTGTCCCGCGATGACATGATTTTCAGGGTAAATTTTAAAAGAAAATTCTCTCCGTGTGTTAACGAGAGCCGCCCAGAAATGACTCGTCGGTCGATCTCGAAACGATATCGATCGACGAATCATTTCTCAATGGGCGCGCAACAAACTGATGAAAGCTGCATCCGAATATAATTAATAAGAAAACTAAATAGGATCGCGTGTCTCGACGTGCAGCTGCGTTTAACGTTTCAAATAACGTATCACGGGGTTAAGTGAAACGATTGCTCGTATCAACGGCGCGTAATCGCGATCTCGGGTGTCTCAGCATCGCGTCGTCGTGCTATCGCGAGCGGGGCAATGATACATTTCTCAGAAACGGTAAACGCGACGCGACAAGCGGCAGATGCCGCACAACAGCACCCGCATTTACATATCTGGTCGCGGAGGGAATGCGTTTGATAGCCCAGAATTCTCGTGACTCATCTCGGTTAATTAACGCGCAAGACCGAGCGGGCGAATCGAGCGCGAACGACGCGTCGGACAACACAAATTAGCGGCAGATTACCCGGCGGCATTATCGCGCGGGAGTTCGCGGTTTTACAATATCTTGCGACATCGGACAAATACGGCGTTTTATATATTGCGTTAGTCCAGAGATTAGACCGGTCGTAACTGCTTCGCTTACGCGTATCGCACGTTCGACCTTTCCTCTAGAAATATTTTGCTTTTTTACTATCGTCGCCAACCCTGAATAATTTCTATTTCTCGCCGTTGTGTCATCACTTATCTCGCCGATTTTTCGTCGCGGCCGTTTCCTCGCCGCTCGCTTGTTCCCACGAATTAAGGTGACTCCCGTATAAGCCGACCAAACGTAGAAAAAATTGAGATTTAAGTATGTTGCAGTTGCAAATTTCACCTATCAGTATGCGAAATTTCAGACCCAAAAAATGTTAAAGTTGTATCTCGTAACATTCCTGTAAACGCCAAGTAACAGTTGCATGACATGAATATTATAATTTTCTACTCAACAAGATAAATGTAATGTAACATCCATCTTATATTACATATCCCATGTTAAGTAGGGAATTATAATATTGATATTATGTAACTATTACTTGGTGTTCACTGGGGCTATGGACCGATCGAAAAGCAATACGAGACACGGAATACGAGAACAATTGTTTTTGAATTCCCGCATTGTGAAGTGAATCTCTTTTCCATCTCACCTCCGCTTGAAAAATATTCTCAAAAGTATAGAAAGAACTCACCTGCGCCGTCCAGTAAATGTCCAACTGCTGAGGCAGTGCGACAGTTGCCGGTTAAATTCTGTTCTCAGGTATAATTCTCGTCATCACGATCCGGCCTGGTGAGGGAAGCTCCGCCGCGGAGAGCAAAAGGCCGCCGCAAAATGTTTCTACCGTCGACACATTGATGGACTTGGTCAGAAACATGTTCCCACCGAATCTCGTGCAAGCCTGCATCACTCAGTATCAAACTTATCCCAAGCCGCCTGAAAATGCCAGTGGTAATAATCGCTTTAGCGATAGAAGAATGTTTTCGGTCAAGTCAGACGGCGTCGATTTAGGTCAGCGTTTCTCAAACTTTTTAGCCCCACGACCCTCCAAAATGGTAAAGCAAGTAAAATTAATACTTTACGAGTGCAGAAACCCAATAAGGTAGAGCGGGGCTATTTCGCGACGTCCAGTTTGAGAAACACTGGTCTAGACTAATCGTTTCTCTAATCATTTTCCGCTTGTAAATTTCAGGCAACATTCCCGTGGACGAGTGGGAAATGGGGGAGAAGGAGGTCTCGGGCTCCAATATCCTTGGGCTCGTTGTGTTCGCGACGGTGCTGGGCATCACCCTTGCTAAAATGGGACAGCAAGCGAAGCCGCTGCTCAACTTCTTCGACTCGCTGTCGGGCGCTATGATGGTGATTACGCGATGGGTGATATGGTAAGACTCGCAAATAAGTATATCCGTTTCTCTGAAACGCATTAATTTTTCCCGAGGAAAACTCGTCGCAACGTCAATCGTTGCGCAACCGTCGTGATCGCGCAATTCTGCCGTGATAATACCGTCTTGGACTCGCGTCCCGACTCCGCGAATTAAGAAATGTTTCCGCGTGTTGCGCAGGCTGTCGCCGGTCGGCATACTCTCCCTGGTCGCTGCGAAGATCACGGAAATGAAGTCGCTCGACGAGATAGTCGGCCAGCTTGGAATGTACTTCCTTACCGTGCTGATCGCCTTGCTCATACACGGCTTCCTGGTGCTGCCCGGATTGTTCTTCCTCCTCACAAAGAAGAATCCCTACGTCTACATATCGCACATGGCAGAGGCGCTCGTCACTGCCTTCGGCACGTCATCGAGCTCGGCGACGTTGCCGCTCGCCATCAACTGTCTCGAACAGAATAACGGCATCGATCCGCGTGTCACCAGATTCGTCATGCCAATAGGCGCTACCGTAAACATGGACGGTACCGCCCTTTACGAAGCTGTAGCTGCCATTTTCATTTCGCAAGTGCGCAAGGTCCCCCTTTCCTTTGGCCAGCTGGTAGCGGTGAGGTGAGCTTCCCCCGTTCATTCAAGGCTTTCTCGTTTCAAGTTAGGACACGTGTCCTCCTAACTTACGTGTCCGTTAAAGGCCTGTGTCCACGATGCCTAGAACTTGGCCCAAGTTGTAGTTCCGAGAAATGTGTAGCCAATCAACCGGCAGCTTTTGTGGAATAGGTTTGGAATTGGCTACTCATTTCTCGAAACTAGAACTTGGACCAAGTTCTAGCCCAGGTAGCCAACTGACGTCACTTGTCGTCATTTTGACGTGAAAATGACAAGTTACGTTAACTGGCTACCTAGGAGCATCGTGGACACAGGCCTTAAGACGTCCCTATGTTCTAAGGACATCGAAGGATATCTAGGATATGAATCGGGATACGATCTTGCGAAAGAGATCAGTCGATTTGTCTCTGGTCGATCTATCTGTTGCATCTAACGCTTGTTCCCAGTATCACGGCGACCTTTGCCAGTATCGGCGCTGCTGGAATACCTCAAGCAGGCTTGGTCACAATGGTGATGGTGTTGGAGACGGTGCGACTCCCGGCCAACGACGTCTTCTTAATCATCGCGGTCGATTGGCTACTGTAAGTTCTCCCTCGCGCCACAGTCAGGATCGCAAAGGGGCGTCTTCTAACGCGCGCATGCATTTGCAGAGATCGATGTAGAACGACCGTGAACGTCATCGGTGACTCCCTTGGCGCGGGGATCGTTCAGCATCTCAGCAGGAACGAGCTCGCGGCGCTGCCGCACAGCACGCAGCAGACGCAAAACGGAGCCGATTGCCACGCGACCACGTCGATATGAGCTGGGATGCTACGTTAGTCGTCGAGCCGCGGTCACGAAGTCGCTTCGCGAGCGGAGGATCGACCATCCACGGCATGGCAAACATATCGGCACTTATCGCGCGACTTATCGTTGGAATATTGCCGTAATTTCTTGAGCTTGCAAGACTCGGAGTCGAATCCGAGGATTTAAAAAAATATATATATATACATAAGCGAGTAAATGAATTAAAGTTTAAGGATTAGGATTAAGAGAATATGAATAAATTTCTGGACGACAACATGATATTACTCGTTACAGCCGTGTCATGTCTGAGATTTCTAATTTCCGGGTTTTTATAAGTTATCCTAGAATTTCGAGGTCTAGAATATACGCCGTTGACGGGTATCCACATTTTCAATATATGGCAAGGGTCGACGATCGCGAGATGTGATTCTGACAATGTGTTCTTGCGTACCCAGTGTTCCGTTTTTATCTTACAAATATCGAACAATCGGTTTAGCGTTAATTCATTAACCCTGTACACGCGAACCAGACCACGAAGGGAACAATCAGCCTGTACCAATGTATCGCGATGCCATATCTGCGACAAACCCACGCGAAATTGTGCACCAATTTCTTCATTCAGTTATGCGCAACGCGACGTGCATGCGAGCGCATTTAAAGGGGGAAAAAAGGATTACTTTCGTAGTCTCACTTCACTGGCATTCATTCTGCGAGGCAAATTACAAAATATACGTAATGACAGGGCGGCGAAACGTCGGTTACTAGCGCGTAGCTCGCGGTGCGAGCGTTGTTCAGATGACTTTCGAATATAAGACATGCTTGAAGCTAAATACTTTTTAACTTTAGAAATCGTAGGTCCCACTAAGCGAATTTGCTTGTAAAATGTATAAGTATATATTACATATATATATATATGCATGTTTGTCTTCCATATTTGCGTTTGACGAGAATTACGCTTGCAGGATACCGCAACGTGTACAACGTTTACATTTCGTTCAAGCCGCATAATTCGCCGGTCCGGTTTCCTCTTCCGCGAGCTGTTCTTCGCGTTTCTGCGGAAGACTGCATTTAAGATCGCGGGACTCGCGAAAGATGAGCGAAATTCACGCGTTCGGTGCCCCGAGAGAAATCGACTTTGTCCGTGACGCGCGACGAGTGAGTCTCGAGAGTCTTTCATTATTTTTTTATCTGACAGAAGCGAGAATTGCGTACGTGATGTCGCAAATATTGTTCCGCGCGCGGCGACGTGTAATAGAAAATATCGCCGCGCCGTTCGTGCCATAGATTATTATCGTATCTCGAAGGTAGTTTTTACTACTTGGTATCCAGTGTGTAAAAGCCGACTTAATGAGTTCGATGCATTAGCAAACCGTCGACTGCGGGACTTGACCCTTAAGTATGAAGCAACGTCGATCATCTCGCGCACCTCCGTGAACTCCTCGATTGAGAAAACGGACTTGCACAGTCCCCCCGGCGTTTCTTACACGTTTCTTCACGCAACAGACAAGAAATTGGAAAAAATCGCGGCACGAGAAAGTATCGATGGGCGCGCCTTCGGCATATCGAACGACGGAGAGCAAAATCCCGTACTTAAGGGTCGAAACGCTTATTCTCCTTTATGGTTTTTACAATCTTTCGTCTTTCGGCACCACAAGAATGACCACTGCTTATGACCACTGCTAAATCACTATATTCTCGCGACATGTAAAAAGAATTATGTGAAGAAAATAACAAAATGGTTAATAAACAAACCGCTTGATCTTACCGCGTGGTTCTTTGCTCGAGGGTCCTCTTGCTATTCTTTTTACTCGCCACTTTCTCCACGCGCCGCTCTATCTAAAACAGAATTAGCAGACACGTCGTTACGTGTGTTATAATAAAATTGTATTACAATGAGTTGCATTACAATAAAAAAATTATCAATCCGTTCAAATAAAGCCAGCGGGTGAGGGTTAAAAGAACGCGTTTTTTCGCGCTAAGTAAAAGCAAAATGCGTAGTACTTAAATTTTGCACGTAACGCACTTGAATCCACCAAACGTTTTATTAATTAACATTTTATTTAATTGGCCGGAATGAATGTGGCGCATCCCAAGGAGAAGAAAAAGTCAGGATGACGTCAATTTGATGCCATATCGACCAAAATTTGACACAAATTCGGTCAATATGACATCAAATTGACGTCATCCTGACTTTTTCTTTCCTTCGGGACTAGAGCGTCGTCACGCGCGAGTTTAATTACTGCAACAATCGCACGCGATCGCGTCTAGAAACGTACTCGAGCGCTGCCGCTTTTGTTGCGTGCCGTCTGGATTCGCGGTCGTTCCGCATTGTTCGACAATTCCGCGTCGCTCGCTCGCCAAAATCGCGATCCCGCGCGTCCGGATCGTTAGAGAAACGATCGCGCGAACATTACGGCACGTCGAACGAGATTCGCGCAACGTTCAGACGCGACGCTTACCGTTTACCGCCAATTTACCGCCGTGTTAATTTGTCTCGCGCCGCGTTGCCGCGTCGGTCGTTGGCGAGCCACGTCGCGTCCACTCGCGTCTTCCTCGCCGACGCGAACGCTTCGCGGACTCGCTGAGCGCGTCGAGTTTCGCAGGACGAACCCGCGGTGCGTTAATCGAGGTACGTGACAACCGATATTCGATCAAAATGGACGGACGCGATCAAGCGTCGATGCCGCGCTGCGCCTGATTGTTCAGCGCTGCCGCTCCACGCGTTTCCCGCGGTTTTTGACGATCGTACTTGAATAAATCGTGCGTCTAGATTGTCTTTAGCCATCATACCTGGATAAATCGTGCCTCCGAATCGTCCAGGAACGACCGCGCGCATATTACGGCGCGTTCGAAGCGCGCGGCCGGCGTTCGTGTGTCCGTCTGAACGCGGTACGCGATCGCGCCGCTTCGCCCATCTCCGGTTGAACGCTTGCGCTTGCGCGCGGCCGCCATGTTTGCCGCCATGTTTGCCGCGTCGGTCGGCGGTCGTTCAGTCGTTGGCGAGCCGCGTCGCGCTCACTCGCGGGTCTTTTTCACCGGCACGAACGCTTCGCAGGGCCTACGCGGGCTCGCTGTGCGCACCGAATGTCGCAGGACGATCGCCCGCGGTGCGTTAACTGAGGTACGTGACACCCGATATTCGATGAGACTTGACGGACGCGTTCAAACGTCGACGCCGCTGCGCCTTACCGTCGAGCCTTGCCGGCGCCACTCGACGTTTCCCGCGCTCTTTCGCCATCGTACCTGGATAAATCGTGCGTCCGAATCGTCCGGAAACGATCGCGCGAATATTACGGCGCGTTCAAAGCGTGCGGCGGCGTTCACGTGCCCGTTTGGACGCGGCACGCGATCGCGCGTCGTCTCGCCGGTCCCCGGTTAGACGCGCGCTTGCGCGCGGCCGCCATGTTTGCCTCGTCCCCCGCGTTGCCGCGTCGGTCGGTCGTTCGCGAGTCACGTCGCGCGCGCTCACTCGCGTCTTCTTCGCCGACACGGACGCCTCGCGGGCTCGCAGTGCGCGCGTCGAGTTTCGCGGGACGATTCCACGGTGCGTTTAATCGCGGTACGTGCGCGGCGGCAGCGCTCGAGTGTCCGTGTTGAACGCGGCGCTCGATCGCGCCGCCTCGCCGGTCTCCGGTTGAACGCGCGCTTGCGCGCGGCCGCCATGTTGGTCGCGCCGCGTCGGTTGGCGCAGTCCAGTCGTTTCGGGACACGGCGCGAAGTCGCGCTGCGCCGCGCTCGCTCGCTCGCTCGCTCGCGCGAGCGAGCGAGTATCGGGAGTGACGGGAGTGCCGGTACGCAGCAGTGCCGCGCGTCCGCCGTCGAGGGTGAATTGTGCGATCCAGAGATCACCGTCAGGACTGGCCGAGCGGGAGCGGCCGGCGGCGACGTGACTCAGCGAACGGTGAGTGTCGATGCGTTCTTACTACCATTTTTCTCCCGTATACGTTCGTCCCCGCCGCGATCGCGGACGTTCACGCTTCGTCTCGCTCGCGAAGGATTCGTCCTCGTCGCGCCGCGGTCATGAATCCTTTTTTCTCGAGCGTGAAGAAGCCGCGATTGCGTCGCGGGACGAGAGGCGGTCATAACAGAACCGATTTGAAGTGCGCGTCGCGTACCCGCGCGCAGTGCTGCGCGCAGTGCGACGCGCGATTCTCTCTCTCCCCCCTTCTTCGCTGACCGGCGTACCAACTGTCGGGCGACGAACGCCGACCTAACCTCGATTGTAAACATGTGAGCACGAGCCGCACATCGCGCGACTCGCAACGCGCACCAAGGATATTTTTTGTTCTGCTCGCGGCACATTTTATCGCAGTACTAATCGTCCCGCTAGTTAACGTGCGACGCCTCGCGCGATTCAGTCGGAGGTTCGGCGGAGACGCGGCGTGACCGGTTAGGTTAGGTTAACCGAGGCGCGCCGGGATGCGTTCGACGTGGCAGTAATCGGCCCCCGCGTCTCGCGCGCAGTTTTATTTAACTCTAACGAGCCTCGCGGACACCCAGGCACGTTCGCGAGGCGACCATGGGTCGCGTGTCCGGGCGCAATCGCGTCTACTTGAATTACAAGACGCTGATGTATTCGACGTTGGTTGTAATTTTTACGAGCACGGTACTGCTTTTCCTGTACCTGAATCGTATCCAACCGGATTATTTCATCGACGAGGCTTTCCACGTACCCCAGACGCTGCGGTACTGCGCGCGGAACTTTACGCAGGTAAACGCTCGACTAGGACAATTGGCGCGGGAGCATCGGAGTTACCGATTGTTGTTTTCAGTGGGATCCGAAAATCACCACCTTGCCGGGCTTGTACCTCATCGCCACCGCGATATTGTCGCCCTTTAACCTCTGCGACGTCGCGCACATGAGATGCGTGAACCTACTTGGGACGTGCGTGAATCTCTATCTCTTTTACAATATTATAAAGAGGAGCCGCGGGTCCAACGAGACGGACCGGCGGAACGATTGGCTGACGCTCGCGACGGCGTGCAATCTCGCCCTTTTCCCGCCGTTGTACTTTTGGTGCTTCTTTTATTACACGGACGTCGTGTCCGTGAACGCGGTGCTGCTAATGTTGTATCTGCACCAACGTGAGCGCACGACGGCGGCGGCCCTCGCAGGTAACTTTTCCCGCAGCTCGCAGCTAGCGGATTCGCTCGCTGGCACTAGTGCGCACCGAGTGCACACCAAGCCCACACAGCACGCAGCTGTTGAATCAACATCTCGGAAACGCTTTTGTTACATTGCGACATTGCATCGGCGTTACGAAATTTTGATTCAACGTTGAAAAGATATTGCAAAAGCGTCTAATGTCCGCTGAATTGTAATGTCTTGTAAACGTTGCAATTGGACATTCAGAAAACATTGTTAAATTATATTGAGCTAACATTGGTCGCGTTTAGCAGAAACTACACTAGTGCAAGCAACCGAATTCGCTGCAAGTCGTCTCCAAGGGTGGGAATACGATGCGAATAAAAGTAATGATTCACTGCAGGTTTGCTAGGCGTGCTCGTCCGCCAGACGAATGTCATTTGGCTCGGTTTCTTTACCATAGAACGCGCATTAGATTTATTCGAGCGCAGGATGGAGCAGCCCGTCCCGCCCGGCGTGCTCAGCACACCCTCGCACATTCGCGTAAGTGACACATTGCAAGGTACAGACGTTGCGCCGAGACAAAAAAGTGTCGAATCAAGTGACTGTATGTGGCAGTCGCGGATTGTCTGGCGAGTATTTGGGATTGTTATTCATAGCTGAACTGGCTACGCTAGTTCAGAATTTATCTTTTTCCCTCGACATTAGGAGGAGGAAGATAAACTCTGAACTAGTACAGCCAGTTCTGCTGTAAAAAAAAAGGACCCTTCGTTAACTCCCGAAAGTGTCACGTTAATATTATTGACGTACGTCAATTCAACTTTATAGATATTCGAATTACATCGTTAAATTGTTGAAACTTGACTCGATGAGTAATCGCCGCTGCTCCTATTCAATGTGTTCTTATTTTTAACACAAATTGTAATTGAAAAAACACCGCATCTTCTGCTCAACCTTTTTGCGGTCCCTTTCAACTCCGTTGGTCAATTAAATGAGCGACAATTCGTTAAATTAACTCGTCGAGTTAAATTTAACGGTGTAAAGAAGCTACCGCAATAAAATCACATCTAGTCGTCGCGACGGCTGCTTTTTTCTCTCGGTGCACAAACTGCGAAGAGAAATGGAGGGTGGAATTAACAGAGCAAACTTGTTGAATTCACTTTTAGCTAATTTGGAGGCAGATAGTGTACGAATCGCGCATAGGTCCGCTCTCCCTCGCCAGGTTCGTCGCGCGGATATGCGGCGGCCTGCTCCCCCACGTGACGGTGTGCCTCGCGTTCGTCGCCTTCGTCGCGTGGAACGGCGGCATCGTCGTCGGCGATCGCACCGCCCACGTCGCGACGGTCCACCTCTGCCAGTTGCTCTACTTCGCCGCCTTCGTTTCTCTCTTCTCGTGGCCGTACGTGTTGCCCCACTGGCGAGCGTGCACGCGGCTCCTTCGTCGCCGCTGGATCCTCGCGGGCTGCGCCGTCGCGCTGATGGCCGCGACGGTGCGTCTCAACACGCTCGTTCACCCGTACGTTCTGGCCGACAACCGGCACTACTGGTTCTACGTGTGGAATCGATTCCTGGGCCGGCGCGCGGCCTTCAGGTACCTGCCGATACCGGTCTACGCCGCGAGCCTGTTCGCCATGTCGCGGAACGTCGCCCACCTGCGGTTCCTCACGCAGATTAACTACGTTCTCTGCGTGTGCGCGGTCCTGGTACCCCAGCTACTGGTGGAACCGCGTTACTTCATCCTGCCGTACGTATTTTACCGTTTGAACATGAAAAGGCCGGAAGGGTGGCAGGTCTGCTGCGAGTCGCTCACGACCCTCGCGATCAATTGCGCGCAATTCGTCATCTTCGCCAACAAAGTGTTCTACTGGGAGGATCAGCCCTACGCCCAGCGAATTTCTTGGTGAGAACGCGACGCGATGTACGAGATGAAAGGGGATTCTATCGCGACGTGTAGAGTATCCGACGCCTTCCTCGCCGCGGTTTCTCCTTCCACGTCGCCGATTCGGTGAGGTAAGACTGAAAGGGGACGGGATTATTAAGGAGAGACGGTCTCACTTCGAACAACAGTTTATTGTTCGTAACTGAAACTTGTGGCAAAACTGCTAGATGGTTTCTTTTGTACAGCAACAGCTTGTCAATTTGTAATTTCACGGCACGTAATATTATCGTCAGCGCACAGTATATTAAACGTGTTCGATCGACGACCGAGAACTTTTTATACCTCCTAGTATTTTTTTTATTACGCTCCTCCGTATCGTTATCTTGCCGTTATACTATCGGTTTCCTTATCGAATATAAATGTTGCGCGTAACGGTGCGGTAAAAGGTACCGAGATGCAAGTCGCGAACCTTCGTCACTTATTCTAGACCTCTTTTCTCTTATTTACAGCGACGAGCTGTGTCTCGAGAAAAGGCCCGACGCCTTTTCTCCGCCGAAAACGAGAGTAAAAATAGGTAAAACTTAGATCTTCCGCAAAGAAACGGTATTGTACAATTTTAAGCCTGTACTCTGAATTGTTTTTCTTTTTGTTGCGAATACGCTAAATCGAAAAGACGCATTAAAGTAAGGCGTAACGTAACGGTAGAAAATAGCGAGGGAAGTATACGTGCACTGTAATTCTCTCACAAATCCACGAAAAAAGTGCTCCCATCCTCTCCGATTCTTTCAGACCTGGGTGTGATACGACTACGCGTACGTAAAGATTAATCATTTCGTTTCGAAACAAAGATGTTGTATGTACAACTTCCGGCTTACGCATACACACTCGGCCTCGGGATCGCCGGAAATTTGAGCATTGCCCGCGACGGAGGCGTCTCGTTGTCCGCCCGTATCATCGTATAGAACCGATACTACAAAATAATCGCATATATCACAAACGGCCTCGCATCAACGCGCTAAGTACTCTCTAGGATTTCTCAAAATTAAAAACTAACTTTTATTACCGCCCCTACGTAATTTGACGAAACAAAGGATAATCGTTCACCTATCTACTTCTCTCCCCATCCCCCCGGCCCCTCATTTTGTCTCGCTTCTCTCTTTCTCTCTACAACCTAGCTGCGCGAGAATCGCGCGTATTGCTTGTCGTAAGTTTATTGCGGACCGTATCCGTATAAAACAATCTGAAACGTAAATATCGTAAATATCCTCTGTACACAAACCTCTCCGCGCATTCCGGCGGGATATGTGAATGGGGAAAGATCTAAATGCCGTCCCGCTTTCGACATCCGATCAATTTCTAATTAGTGCAGTTATCCTATAGATATATTATGTATATATGCTACAGCTTCTCGAAATTTTTGGTGTCATAATGACAATATATATATATATATATATATAATATATATCGTATAGGACATAGCGATTAGATTATTATCATCCACGCGCTGGAATTACGTCTATCGCTATAAAGCGTTCACATGCTAGGTAAAAGTAGATGAAGTAGAGCACTTTCGGAAATCAAAGTGTCGTGGGAAATTATTGGGGACTCTTGGGAAAATATTTCAAATTAGCGCCCTGTTCTAACGAATGAACGCGAAATTGTCCGACATCGACTTCAAAGACGTACGGTCGAGAGCACTAGATATATGTTTATATATGGATATATAACGCTACAAGGATATGAAATTTGACAAGAAAGTAACTCTTCTTGTTAGTTTCCCGCAGTCTTCCGTGCGTTCGTACAGCAGAACTCGTAATGCCCGAACTAATCGAAGCTGACTTGATACCGTGAACTTGGGTCGGCCAACTTTGTTTCATATTTGTTTATACTCTGTGCAAATACTTAAAAAATTCACCTTAAAATTTACATACCACGGGCGTTTTTATGTTAAGGTAATTTTGCGCAGTGAGATCAAATACCGAAAAACATATCGCCCCAAGTTCGCGGTAATATTCTGTTCCACGACTAACCGCTACTTCGCGCAACTAATTTTTAATAACTTTTTAAATGCGTAAGTTTGAGAGTAACCGCGTTATCCTCCGTTTAAATAAGTCGCAACGATACAAGTAAAGCTGCGGGAAATTGGACAAAATTGTACATTTACTCTGAATGTTGGTCGAATGTTCATAGCGATATGTTGTATCAATGAAAAGTGTTCGGAATCGAGGTTCCGCTGTACAACCGTGATACGATACTTCGACGATTCTGACGAAGCCGTCGAGTCAGGCAATCGAAACCGATTCTCTCGATTTCGCACTCAGTGCACGCCTCCCTTATCTCCTAGCATTTTTTTTCTTCTTCTTCCCTTTAATACTATCTAACTCGCGCCAACTGTATTGTGCAAGAGGAGTCAAACGTAGCTTTAAATATTACATGCCTCTCTAGGAAGTACACGTTTCCTACGCACACGCACGCAAGTACATTGGTAACGGAAACGCCGCTCGTCGGTTTGATTATAATTCGCTATTTTGTTTATGACCCGTAAGTCCCAGTCTACAATGGAGATTTAAATCCTAAGCCTTAAGAAATTGACTAATCACAGTCGCGTATTCTACTCTCATACTTGACCGTGATTGGTCACGTTCTTAAGGCTTAGGGCTTAAATCTATTGTAGACTAACAAGTTGGTCTACAACCTTGCTTCAAGTAAGC